TTTTAATATTAGGGGGGGTTAATAATCAGGGGAAGTGATTATAAGTATAGTATCTATGTATTTATTTACATACATACGTACGTACATACATTCGCACTTCGCACTTCGAGGAACTGAGTCCAGGTTGGACGCATCCTAGAATGCTTGCAAATTAATTTACGATGAAACATGAAAAGCAGTCGGCACATGGGCAGTTCCCTAGGGCGTGGACATCTGACAGAGAGGCGGCAAATGGGGCAAGTCGCGCAAGCGCTTGTATGCCGGGGCAGCACACATGCCCATAAAGCAAGATTGCCGGACAGGAATGAGTCCAAAGGAAGAGCACCCCACGAATGAAGTCAGAGTGTAGGCGGAGACGCCTCATGTGCGGCTCAACATGGCGGTAATTCTTGAGCGGTATCGGCGAGGAGAGAGAGTGAAACAGGCCAAAAGCACGGAAGACAGTGAGTGATGGACTCCTATCCCCAAATTCCAGGAGGAAACATCGACCAACTCGGGGCACTCCCAGCAACGTTGAAACGGCCAACACTTCGCAAGCGAGCACCGAGCATCTCCCAAGAAGAGACTGAGCGGAGGCGTGACCGGAACTGGCGAGATGTGAACATCGCCAAGATGGAGCCACGGTAGTACAACCTCTGCATCACGGAAAGAGGAGATGGCCTTTTCCCTTTGCAAGGGGTCAGGCATAAGCCACTGGCCCCAGTCAACAACGAGGAGGCGTCGGGTTACAATGCCATGCCACAAGCTCCACTGCAATTCCCCCTCTTCATCCTCTGCGATCTCTTCGTCAAGTCTACGCTGCCACGCAGCAGCCGTGGCTCTCAGCCTAGCGGTCTGCAAACACGAACGCATCAATAAAGATGCTGCGATACTGCTGAAACAACTCTCCAATGGAGGCCACCTGTTCTGTAGCCGTGCCGTACGACTCCTCCAAAACCAACATTTTGCACTGCTGGCAGAAGCTGAGCAGATCCATCATCAAAGGCTCGACTTCCCATTCCTGGGCCAGGCTGAACGACATGGGCATTCGCAATCAAAGATGAGTTGCACCGCCTGGAATACCAAACATGATTGCACAGCTTTTCGGTGTTCGGGAACTGTGTCAAGCACACCGGGCATTGCGACCCTGCCACCAAATGCCGCTCCTCTCCCAGTCGTCCGTGGACGTTGAAGGCATGATGCGACCATGCTCTTAGATTGGCGCAGCTTTTCTGGCAGACGGCACATACTTCACACGGCCCTGGCTGTTCAATATCGTCTTGACAGGTAGCTCCGAGGCATCGGAGCTGTCGAAGTAGGAGACCCAGAAACTGCTTCTTTTCAGCTTCCCACTGGGCTCGAAGAAGCGCATATGCCTTGGCCGCCTTCATGGCCCTTCTCCACACCGAAGGACGTTCCTTCGACAGTGCAACGACATCCTGCCACGTGCCAAAACTCCCAACATCACGCCCTCCTTGCCGGAAGAGTTCCCGCAACCAGTCCAGAGACTCCTGTACGTCCCGGAGGCACGAACCTTCATATGGTGTAGCAAGGCCCACAGCTCAGGGTTAGCCTTGTCGAGAGCAACACGGAGATGCCTTAATCGCTCAATGTGAACGGCATCCCCTGCCGGCAGGATGCGTGCAACAGCAAGTGCATACTCCGAGCCTAGAGACCTCGCCTGCTCCAGAGAGAACGCGGGCTGCAACATCAACCTGGCCATCGCAGCAAGCGCACCCTGGAATTTGGAGACCACCGCTTTGTCACAACCTGGCCAGGCTCCGACTCCGTAATACAAAGTGGATTCAACCAAGGACGTGAAAAGAGTGGACTTCTCCTTGTGCGACACAATGAGTGACATGAAGACTTGCTTTTTGCGTTCACGAAACGCACACCATGCAGAGCCAATTCGAGTTTGGCCTCCTTGTCCAGTCCTCCGCCCGCCTGGATGATCCCCCCAACATGCTTTTATGTAGGGACAACCCGGAGCCTGGCCTGTGGCCACACCACTGATTGCAACTGAAGGGAGGGGTCCTGTCCTCTGAAGATCTCTTCTCGGACCTTCCTCGACCCCGGACCAACCAGCGGTACTTTCCCCTGGTCCGTGTGTAAACCAGGAGTCTTCACTAAACTCCTTGAAGACTTGTGCCGCCCAGTCCGAACCACCAGCCTTCCTGACCAGGGAGTGCTCTGTGACAAAAGCAGAGAGCGCCGGAACAACAGCCGAGTCAAGCCCAAGTGTCCTGACAAGACTCTCCACATGTGCAGGATGAACTTGTCCACCATGGACAAGCTCCCGTGCAACCCGGTGAAAAGCCTCCTCTAGGTCGACAAAGATCCGGCCGTGCGACTGTCTGCGCGCCGCACAGGATTCTTGAAAGAGACGAGCAGCCTGAATGGCCAACTGCACTGGGTACCCCTTTCGTCCTCCTGTTTGAAGCGGCATGGCCGCAGCATCCAGCAAGTATGAAAACTTGTTGTGGAAAGTGCCATGTATGGATTTGCCGATGGCGCTGCTAACAAGTATCGCTCTATAACTCTCGCAAAGCAGTGTCGACCCCCTGTGCTTGTACACCTTGTGAAGCTCCGCCCCTTCCATTGGAGGGGTTTCTCCAAACGAAAGGTGAGCTTCAGCAGGGGGGAGTACAAATGCTTGGAGAGTCGCCCCGGATACTTATGCAGGAAGTCAGCACGTACCCCGTCCTTCCCGGCCGCACGCTCACAAGGGGAGCAACGCATGCTATGCTCCAACTGAGTGCGGGTGGGCACATTCCTCAAGGTTCACGACCAAGTCGTCTAGGTCATGGGAGGCCTGTCGCACGAAGCAGTCCTTTGCAATAGCCTCGGCCGACAACGGGCCGCCAGCTTCGATTTCACTGAAGTGTCTCACCCAGCGAGCTTCTGCAGCAGAAGCATCCCCCGCAACCTCACCATTCTCAAGCAAAGCCGCCGGATTAGCTTGCTGACCTCGCACTCTTCTCTTTGGTGGACCAAGCAAAGGGAACAGACTTAACTGAGGATGTGGCCGCTTGTGCAGCAACCTCAGAGAGATAGGCCTTTCTATCTGCCCTAAGCGAGCGCTTGATCGAAGGTTTCAACGCTCTGAGGTCACTGACATTGGCCGCGAGTTGCCAGGCTCTACGGAGGACAGAGGCAAAAGACCTTCGCAGCACGCAGATGAAACCACAGGAGTGACGCCATGCCTGGCTGGCAAAACGCATTTCACGACTGGCCAACCAGGCAGCTGCTTTATGTATCGCCTTTTTTAACCAAACCCTCTGCTGCCGATAGCCCCAAGTAGCGTCAGAAATGAAGCATCGACGGCGTTTGGCTCTCTTCAAAGGAAAGGCCTCTGTAAGGCCGTTCACGAGGTGCTCGGCAACTGTATCGTAGTGGGTGTGGGCATCCCTCGTCCACGGGATTTCAGGGAGGCTGCACAGTTGATCCACAAAGGGGCCTGCGTCAGGCCGAGCAAGGCTTTTGAGGTCTATGCGGGGCTTATGCGGCTTTGCCTCAAGGTTGACAGTAAGAGGAACTTGCAATTCCAACCAGACTGCAAAGGGAACCCGTGTTTTTTTTGCTGTAG